AATTTGTGTTAATAGAATCTGCGGTACTGGCTCACATTATGTAATCTTGTCTATCAGAACAAACACGAACAACGTTGGAAGAAATATATTTAATAGGAGAATAGGGCCAGGAACAACTGTTCTTACACAGTGCAATTTCCCCTCTGTACAACAGTCTATTTTTTTTTTTTTGCACTTTATAATATTGGTACTTATGTTTTAGTTTGGTTCATTTGTCTAATTACAGACACTTTGAAAATTCACAAAAATTATCGAATTAAAATTGCTTTTTCAGCAAATATTATGTAATATATTAAACAAAAGGATAACTTTCTTTTAACTTATATTTATTTCAGATATTCTCGCAAAGCTACACAAAGGCTATTTTGCGCATAACTAATTAACAGACTAGAGGAAAGTACCAAGCGCCAACTCTTGACTAACCGATTAGAGGACTTTTGAAAGTTATTATTAAATGCACCTACGGTTTCAAAGTTTTTTGCAGCTACAGGACGTGAACATAAATGTTCGGATTCGAAGACTCACCTACGTCGATCACTTAAACACGTCTGACCTCCACTTTATGATGTACAAACACGATTATTATTACAAAACTAAAATTTTTAACAGACACTGGCATTTCTCGTCGACGAATAATTTGTTAGGGTTTGATTACGGTTTAAACGGAAATAACATTAAACGCTGTCCTCCGGTGGATCAGCAGCAAGTTTACGGACTTCCAATGCTAAAATATGGGGTTCGATTCTTCGATTTTAGCCAAAACAAATCACACACGCACATCGAATAGCCCAAAGTGTGGCTTTTAACCGAAACAAATCACACACGCACATCGGACAGCCCAAAGTGTGGCTTTTAACCGAAACAAATCACACACGCACATCGGACAGCCCAAAGTGTGGCTTTTAGCTAAAACAAATCACACACGCACATCGAATAGCCCAAAGTGTGGCTTTTAGCCAAAACAAACCACACACGTACATCAAACGCTAACGTTTCATTTACGCGCAAGAAGTTTTAGACAATGAACTTCAGTACTTATTCTCTTTATTTCATAATTTGACAACACCAAACTTGTGACAAATCACAGTGGTGTGTGCATCAACAATCTCATTTATTATTTTATTACTGCGCTTATATTAACACGTGCAGTAAAAATTCAGAAGTAAATAACGCAACATTTTGCAAAGTAGGAAGAAATATCCGAGGTAATAATAATTTCAAACATTGCAAACTAGGTCATGGTGCCAAAAGTAAAGATGCTATGAATAATAATATCACAGAAAATAGTACCACACATTTCATTTTTCATATATTAATAATATATTTGAATAAGTACAAGAAGATTAGGTTACAAAATAATCAACTGAAAACGCATACATACATATGAGAGATAGAACGAAAAAAAAACAGCTGAATACTCTAACAGATACAAGTCCTCCCCCCCCCCTTTTCACGCCCGATATCATTTGTTGTTAGACTAAAATGTGTTTCTGAAGGATATTCTGTAGGTACAAAATTTACGTTATGCGTCAGAAGAAATACTATAAAGCTACCTAGCGACAGTCACGTGAGATTATAGTTTTTCAATAACTATGTTATGTTGAGAGTAACGAGGAAAAATGAAAGCGCGATAAAAACGGTTTAACCAAACCATTAGATAAAATTACAATTTCTGAAAGCCTGACACAATTACGCGAATTACCGTTCTTTAAAACATAGCAAAGCTCAGATTCAAGCTCAAACTGCTTGGCTTTTAACTTCCATAAGTTGAGGTTTTACCCCATCTGGTGTGTTACGAGCACATAAACAAACCCTTTAACGTCTAGTCCAAGCGGAACATGATTGAACGGTAATATACCGAGTTTTAAAAACTATAAATAACAAAAATCAATCAGTATTATTGAGTTTTAGGACACGTTTTTCTGAAGTGAAATTTTATGTCTCAACAACTGTATAACTAAAACACGACAGAAGGATTCATCACGTTAGCTCCCCAGTGGCACAGCGGTATGTCTGCGGACTTACAACGCTAGAATCAGGGTTTCGATACCCGTGGTGGGCAGAGCACAGATAGCCCATTGTGTAGCTTTGTGCTTAATTACAAACAAACTAATCATCAGGTTAAATCACGCATTACTTTTCTATAAGTGGAGATTAGGAAGTTGGATCTGTTTTATTACACACTACGAAACAGGGTTATATAAGATATATACCGAACTACTTTTCAAACGATTTACTCGAGAAAAAAAAAAAGAGCGTATATAACTGGCACTCTAAACCTACAATGAAGAATATACGGGTACTAAGAAAAACAATAATAATGATGATCAACGTTTATTGACACAAAAAGTCATGTCAATAAACCAGCAGAACCTTTGTCACTGTGTTGTCCTATAGAACTTGGACGTAAATTAATCCAGCCTTTTTTCCAGTTTTAAAATTTCTACTAAGCCAAAACAAGTTCCCTCAGAAGAATATTTGGACAAACTTTTATGTAAAGGGAAAGAGAAGTACCGCCTACAAATTCTTGATAAGGTTGTAATGCTCCTTTGGTGTTTTTTTTTCAAGTGAACATTAATCCATTCAACTTAGGCCTGCTGACTCATCTTTATTGTTATGAATCTATAATATGTACTCTACCCAAAGGGATATTGTGCTAAATCCGTATTGAAAGGGTCATCAAAGACTGCAACGTCGATTCATGGCCGAGTGGATAATATCTGTGTGTCACAGCCGATGAATGCTGTGGGAAACGAACCAGTCACGTAATGACGTTATCACAACACAAAGGAACCATAGTCCTACAGAGTTTTACTTGGTTGTCATCGTGCTGAATTCGACAGAGACCAAACCTCAGTGAACGAGAGCTGCCGATTCAACACTGATTCAGCAGAAGCAATTATCCTCTCGTCTATACAACTACATTAACAGTTGTTTTTGTTTTACTTTGCGTTATAATAAATAGTTTTGCATTTATCATCACACGCGTCTAGTCTATTTATATTTAACTGTTTAAAGCTCTGATAAATTTTCAGATTATTCTAAAATCTCCTGTTTGGTCCTGCCGTTATTAGGCGGACCTATATAGTATGTACGAAGAGAGAAGAAATTAGTTTACCTCAGAATACTGTTGCGTCAGCGAGGTCACGTGACTAGTATCACGCCACTCCTTCTCTCGAACCTTCGTGAATGCCCTAGCATTTACTAGATTGGGGGGTAGTCTGGTATATATAAGATGGTCACAACGTGACGGGAACAGTGTAGTGAGTAATTGAACTGCAGTGAGAGAGTATTGTTGAAGTTGAGCACGTTCGTTGTTATAGCGCGACTGTTGAAAATAAGTGTATCGGTAAAGTTATATTCAGAAAGAATAAACCAGTTTTATTAAGAAAGGGCTTGTGTCGCTAAAGTTTCGTGGGAACGAAGTTACGGAAAATCAACTAACGAACGGAGACGTAACAATACCATATACGTTAATATAAAAGTATATATACAATTTGATATTATTGCTTTCTAAACGGAAAATGTTCTATTTTATTCGGGATTTTTAAGATTTGATATCTTATATCATAGTTAATAAACGTATTTTTCTCAGCACTCTTTGCGAACGTGATATACATACGATCTAGGTGTAAGGTTTTCGTTTGTTTTAGAACACAGTCACATTCTGTGTCCATCGTGTGGAATCGACCACTGATCTTAGCATTGTAAATACGCAAACTTACTGCTGTCCCACCAGGGGACAGGTGTGAGGCTTCAATTCATAGGCGTTTGAAAAACAAGAACAGCTGAAAAAAAAGTGTTGAGATAAAATCATAGACGAGTATGGCCGTAATAATAAAGACAGATAAAAAAAATTGAAACAAATAGCACTTACAGAACAAGTACTAATTACAAAACACTTAGGAAGCATGAAAAGAAACAAAATCAATTATTCAAACACAAAAAAAAGAACTACTGGAAAAATCTTGGAAATCAGAATGCCTCAGAATTGGTAGAATAAGACTAACAAATATAATCCTAAAAAAAACAGACTTTACAGCATAAAACAAGAAACAATATTGTTACGTATCTGGTCGTTAGTTAATTTTCCGTATAATTTCTTTCCGAAGAAACGTTAGCGATACAATTATCTTCTAAAGCTTCATGAATGTTTAAAATGTAACCTTTTGTACGACTGAGAGCTGTAATTTGTTATATTTGTATTTAAACATCACTCAAGTGGTAGTTAGTGGCATTAACCCTCAAATTACTGACCTTAATTAGTAATGTATTATCAATTACTAAGACTGTTTAGGGGAGGTTAAGTATTGTAATATTATAATTTCAAAGGCAAAACTTAATAAAATACTAAAAAAAAACAACAAGTAAGTAATACTATTAGTATACAAATTACAAAGAAAAAGTCCCTACACAAAATGGTATATAAACTCGTGATATAAGATACTAACTTTATAAAGAAAATACAATAATTATTTCACGAAAATGTGACAAATTATAAACATTAGAAGATGCTAACAGTTTACGAATATGTTCCTTATAATTGAAAATGACAACTCACTTCGTAAGTTGACAAGGGATATAAGCACAGTCATCACTTAGTTAAATGGTTTTACAAATGTGACAACATTCGATCTAAAATCTCTTTCATAAATGTTAATTAGATGATACAAGTTTAAAGAAATATGAACATTGTTAAATTAAAGCTTTAAAAGTAAAGACAGTGTTTGATCCAAAATTTATGGTGAACAATAAAAGGTTTTGAGTCTGAAAACAAATGTGAATTTGATCTATATGGATCATTAGAAGTTAATTATGACAGTCTTCACATTAGCTCCGTTTCTCCCTTTGGCCAAATAATTAATTCTTCATTACCATCTGATTAGTTAGTCTCGCGGAATTAATGAGGTATATTACTGGTAAAAACTAACTTAGACTAAAACTAGGGAAGAAAAAGTACATAGACAGTTAGAGCTTCTAGTTTGCAAAGATAAAGACACTTACGTATCATCAAGAAACGCTAAACCAAAATACTCTTTCTCTTTTAAGCTAAAATGTGATGCCACCATGTCTAAGAGTTCTCCAGCATAGAGCTTGGGCTGAAAATTAGAAAGAGAAGTTCAATCATAAACACCATATATATAATACTTGAATTTGTACTTTTAAATATATATATATTTATGCTACTTTCTTTTTAAATGAAAAGTAAAACTGTCACTAGTTTTATGACATGTTTAAATTCTCTCGACTTTCTTTTAGGTGTATTATGAAGTATTTTAATGCTTGTTTGAACTTTAAAAACACAGGGTATTTATTTGTATTTGCCAATATTTTATGAAATTTATTTCTGAGAATTTATTTTATGTTTTGAAATATTATTTTCTGAAAACGATTTTTTAATGTTAAGGTGTAAACTATCTAAAGTTGTTTCACGTTAATTGCTAAACTTAAAAAAGCTCGGGCATCTCCACTTAAAAGTCACATATAATTAGTATTACCTACAAACTGAATTCCTCACAGCCTTTTAGCTCTAACAGGCTTAGTCAAATTCTAGTATTGAATAAAAAGCTTTTTGGGGGAATGAGAAAAATATGAATCGTTTAAATAACAGGTTTTTACACACATCTAGTTTAGAATCCTTAATAACTAAGATAATTGTGATCAGGGGGTGGATTGGGATTAAAGGAGCAGCCCAGCCAATGTCACATGTTGCATACTGTCTAAACATTTAAAATTTCAAATCAAATTCTAAGAATATGTCAAATGCACAGGCTCACCAAGAAAATGCTCAGTGTCCTGGTGGGCTAATTTGCCCCTGAATGTGATACAACAATCTGCTATGAAATGTGAAGTTGTGTACCGTTTATTACACTTCAAAAAGAAATTGTTTAACCTAAATTATGTTCAGAATCAGTCACAAAAAGTAACGCATATCGGATTTTTTTCATTTCTAACAAAATTACTGATAAATTTAGAATGGTTTCAAAATTTGGATAAAATTCTGAAATAAAAATTAAGAATTTAACATTTTTTTGGTTTTAAAGTTATTTTCTATGAAAAAATAACATGATTATTGCAATCTTTTTTTTCCTAAAATTACACCTTAAATAAAAAAAACTCTATAAAACTATATTTTAACTGTTTACCTTAGAACACCTTACAAGTTGTGGTTAACAGAAAAATGTTATAATGTTAAACAAATCAAAATTTTTCTAAGTATCTCAACAGATTCAAATATTATCCATTTAAATCACCTTTAGAGTAAATAAAATTGTTGTGGTAAATAATGCTTGACTCAATAGATCTTATGTAAAGTAAACATTGATGTGTTTATAATGATGAAACACATGGACTAAGTTCAATGATCCAGTATTACTGAAAACTTTTACAAGAGAGAACATAAAGATGTAGGTAATTAGCATACTATTCAAAAATAAAATTAATTATAAAGATGATGAACAAATTAAATAGAAAAAAAAAAGAACACATCTTTTAGAACAGAAAACATTCAGCTAGTTAAATTAATCTAATTAAAAAAGGAAACAAAATTTATGAATGTTGTTTTAACTGAATTAAAACAAAGCATTGTACTTAATACCAAAGAAAAACAGAAAGCAAATCTAAAGTATAGATGATGTTACTGACAAATATAAAAAGTAACCCATCATAATGTTTTTTCACTGTTTATCAGTGAGTAGCAAGAGTAACAATATACATGTTTATAAAACGAATGTATATAATAACTATGAAGATTGACAACAAAATAAGACACCGAACATGTAAAATTCTATTGGATAACTATATAATGTAAATCTGATTAATATTCAACCAGAATCTATTATTACTTCAAACTTTAAATCTACATTAAGAGAGATTAAAAATATTTTTCATCTTAAAAAAAATTGAAAATAGAGTGAATATTTTCTCTAACAATCTTTGATTTAGGCACAAATATGCTCATTAATTTTGTTTTCTATTAGTTTTCTCTTCCATATGACCATACATTATGATTAGAATACTATTTTTCTAGAGAAGGTTAATGAATAAAAGCTGAACTACTCATACAAAGTAATCATTCACATAAATATGTATTTTTTCTACATGTGATATCAGTGATATTCTTTAATTACATATTCCTACTTTCAGTTTTTCAAGAACTTCAAATGATAAATATTATATTGTTTTGAAAACTGCTATATTCAGTCCATTAAGTGTACTTAGTTATACTATACTTTCATACATGTTTATATAACTTCCCTTATCTATAAGATAAAGCTATTCAAAATAATTTCTGCACTAAACTTAATTTTTAAAAAGTAGTTACTAAAACTAATATTAATTCAATCTGTCATTAGTTCAATTAACAAATCATTTTCATCTATTTACAAAGCCAGATTCCTTTCATCCATCTCCAACCTTTCATGTATTCATCTTTACAACGATGTATATCTACCAACTGGGTTTTATTTGGGAACTTGGGACTTGGTAATGAAGATGTGCAAGTTTTATGTAGAGTTTGTAGGTTGGAGGAGAACTTGGAGGCTATCATAGTTAAAGTAGAGGCAACAGATAAAGAGAAGTGTAGATTATTGGAAATGGCAGCAAGGTTTCAAGAGGAGCTTAAGTTTTTACATACACAGAATATGAATATATCAGCTAACAACGAATTTCGGGTAGTTAGAGTACTATTAGGGCTAAAAGTAGTGAGTTTTGTTATAATGAGCCTATTCTGTTGAGCAATAAATTTCAGCCCTTGACTTCTGCAGACGAGGAACTATTGAAGGGAAGGAAAACAAAAGGATGTGGGTGATAAAGAGGTTACAGTTAAAGGTGATTTCTTGACAAGGCATATGGATAGGATAGTCTGTGGCATAAATAGGGAGAAAAGAATCAGATTAAGCTACCCAGGGGCACAGGTGGAGGATATAACTGACAGAGCAAAAGATATAATAAAGGGGCTAGCAGAGATGCAGTTTTTGTGGTTCATGTAGGGGTTAATGATGTAGAGGAATGTAGGTCAAAGGAGCTAAGTAATAATTACAAGGAGTTAATAAAAGCATTTAAGAAAAAAGGCCATAACTTCAATATAGAATTGATCAAGAGGGTGGAAATTGGGGAACATCTAGGTGCAAGTGATCATTGGTCTATTAGGTTTGATGTTAGGTTCATAAAAGGCTTGTAAAACAATTATTTCTGTAGGTGTGGGAGATAAGTTAGCAAATTGGATGAAAGAGTGGCTGGATGGAAGAAAGCAGAGGGTTGTTACAAATGGAGTTTGTAACGTCACAAGTGGGGTACCTCAGGGCCGAGTCTTAGAACCTTTGCTCTTCTTGATTTACATCAATGGTGTAGATGAAGGAATAGTTAATAAATTACTTAAATTTGCAGATGATATTAAGATCTTTGATGTTGCTAGCTGTGAAGAATGCTGCTGATTTACAAAAGAATTTAGATCATTTAGTGAGTTGGGCAAATAAATGGCAGATGGGTTTTAATTATAATAAATGTAAGATAATGCATGAGGGTTATCATAATTTGAATTACAAGTATAATTTGGATGGGAATAACCTTAACAGTGTCATGAAAGAAAGGGATCTTGGTGTAATAGTTGATCAGTGCCTAAAGCCATCCAAGCAGTGTA